CCTCAACAAAGTAAAATTAGGCACTGGGAGCAAGCATATGAGTATGTGCCAAATTGTCAGACTTGTGCAGCACACTCGCGGGCAACTTTTGAGGACAAAAAAAGACTCGGGACGGGCACTGACCTCACTTTCAACCGGATGACAAAACCTGTTTTGATTCAAAGGGGCTTAATGAAGCCGGAGAGGATGGAAGAGAAGAAGAGTGGGAGAAGGGTGTTTTGTAAATAGACTGAAACTGTCTAAGTCTTGAGAACAATCGCCCCAAATTTGGTCGGAATTGTTCGGCAATAGAAAAGGGCGAATGAGGCGAGCAGATGTGTGGTATTTTTTTCAATTTTTTGTAAGTTTATTGCGCACTGGAAAATTTAGTGAAAGTGTAGAAAAATAACAAGCATCTTATTCATAAGTTTCAATGCGATAAAACAGCAGTAGAGGTAGCATGGGGAGGCGAAATTTTCTGAATGCATCCATACCAAGGATTTGTGCAGCCTTGAAAAATTGAAGGATAATGTGGTAGTGGACGAAGTTTCTTTTTAGCTTTAACATCTATTTCGCAGTGTCATTGTTACTGTCACAGTCTGCAAACACTAAAATTACAATACCAACTGGTACGCAGTGTGTTTAGGTGATTGGCCAGCCACAATGATATCGATGTAAATTAACAGAAGTCCATTCATCGAATTTGAGATCTTTTGAAGTGATAAGCAACAGGTAGGCAGCTCGTAAACGTCTTAATCACAGTTGACGAGGCATTGACCTCAACGTTGCGGTGCTTCTAGTGCCTGGATAAAATTCGATGTGCAGTTAGGAATACCTTTAAAAACTGCTGTTAAATCAGCGTAGCACTTGCAAAAACTAAACATAGAGCTAGAGGCAGAAGTGGTTCTGCCACCGATCTGTGTGATAAGCCTGCAGCAGTTATCTGCTGTCAGTAACGATTGGATTGATCGTTTTGATTTTTAGCCGAAACGCCTCTCCAGTCACTAATAGTTCTGATCTCAATTAAGCTATGTACATTCTTTTTCAGTACCACAGTTGACTCTCGTCAGTTGTAACGTTGCTAAAATAAATAAAATGAAATAAATTTTATGAAATGTTGTTTGTCTATATAAAAGCAAAAATACATTGGGGCCGCCCGGAACTGCTCATTGCTGCTCCTGTTTACAAATTTCTGGTGCGAAAAATTTCGTATGCATTTACGGTATGCAGTAAACGGAAAGATTACAGTGTGTACGTGGACACAGGACAAACGCGACGTAATGCGACTGCCTCAGACCGATGGCCCTTGCGATGCCTGTGTATCAGATGAGCATCTCAAGAAAGCACCATCGTCGCCAGCTGATTGGTTTGTGCAGTTTCGTTTCTTATCGCCGAAATTTTGATGTTTACCAGAAGCAGTGGCGTAAAGGAATGTTCTCGCTCGGCTCCACTCTCCCCTCTTTCGGGCACTGGTACTGGAATGTTCGGGATGGGATGCTGCTCTGGACGGCCCTGCATCTATGAAAAAAGTATAATTGAGGAGGCTTACGCTTGACCGATTAATACGTAAAAAGGCAGAAACTCGCAGCACTGCCTTGAGGCATGCATAAACAAGATGAATTGTAGCCGCAGTAATCACAGTGCCGTTGGTGACAGGCAGGAGTATGACGTTTTGAGGTAAAGCTGGCTTCATGACAGTAGTTGGAGGCCTTGAAAAAAAGGTAACTTTAGTATCTTTAATGGAAAGTCATAACGGATAAACTTGGTTTTGAAAAAAAAAGCTTGATCTTTGACATCATGTGCAACTATGCGAAAAAATTCCTAATTTGCATAAACTTATAAAAATTTTGTTATTCATTGAAAATTCATCCGCATCGATGCCCACAAAACTACGGGAAGATACCTTTTGAAACGCCGGCTGAGACAATTAGATCCAGTAACTGGGGCTTAAATTTTCTATTTCCAACAAGTCAGAAAAAAGTTTGATTTCTGATTAGCATTTTCACGATTTGGTAAATCGCTTTTCATATCTCCATTCGGATCTCCGGGCTGAAGTTCTTTGCTGTTCCTGAAGAATTTCAGTATACGTTCGTTGCCGTTGTTTTAAAGATTTTGTCTGCAAAAGGCATGGCGATGTAATATCGTAGTCATGAAAGTGGTCACTCATCTCGGAAAAAATTCCCAGCCCGAAGCCCCTCTTACGCATTAATACTGAATTAGCTTCTGTTTATTCCACTCTGTCACATGGAATGTATGAGTGGCAGTTGATTCCACAAACACGCACCTCAGTTTTTTTTGCATACAGTTTTTTTTGAGCTTTGACATTTTCTTTATCTCTCAGCATTCCCAGACTCGAATTTCGATGAATTTCAGTTTAGGTCTACTTCTGTTGCAGTTTGATCGGATTTCATAGAAGTTTGGATTCTTTCCAGAAGATTGTTTGTGCATTTTCTGTCTCTTTCAGTTGTGATAAGTGATTGTTAAGTTGATAGGCAAGTGAGCCATAGCTGACATGATTTGCCAAGCGGAGATGCTTCCGCCGTTGATGGACAGCTGCGGAGTAGCACCATCTTCTTGGTGTAATCTTTTATGCATTCGTAATTTTTACGACTACTTATACCAAAATATTTTACTTTTTACTAATTGCACGAAAGTATTTGCTTTTTTTTTTCATACTTAATCTAATTAAGAAATCTGCATAAACATTTTATACTGTTATAGCGAGCTCCCGGATCTACCAAAAATAACAACGAGCGGTCAGTATTTTGAATTTGAACAGATTGTTAACGGGGCCGATGGAAATTTCGATGGGAATTCGGACAGTGACAGTGAGGGTTTCGGTGAACATGAGGTTCTGTCAACGTTCTCACAAACATTCTTTTGATATCAGCGCAGTTTTCTTCTTAAAAATGGT